GGTAGTTTCTTTATCACCTTGGGGCACATTTCTGATATCTAAGGTGGAAGATCGATAACTCTGCTGCAGGTCGCTGACCTTACGTTCCAATTGTAGTATATATTAGGTCCTTACATATGAAATTAGCGTTTTGTCGTACTGACCACTTTCATCTGAAATATCTCCTCTTTGGATAAGAAGTCCAAATTCAGATATATAAATTCATTTAGCTGGTACGTTTGAGTTTTGAAAACAGTCATTCATTTGTTTTTTCCTCATTATTTTTTTCTTTGGCGTCGCTTATTACCGCACAATGGAAAACATGAAATATCTTTATATTTACGAGTTCTACCGTGGCACCAGTGCTGCAGAAACAGCTCGAAGGATTAATGATGTGTACGTCGCTGGTGTCGCAAAAGAAAGCACGGTACGTTTTCGGTTTCAACGTTTTCGTTCTGAAAATTTCGACCTTCAGAACCAACCCCGTGGACGGCCGGAGACCAAAGTGGAAAATGAAGAATTAAAGGCTACTGTGGAAGCGGATCCATCACAAAGCACTTCAGAGATAGCTGCAGGCTTCGGGGTAAGTTATAAAATTGTATTAATCCACTTGATGCTTCAAGTGGATTAATACCATTTAAATCGGGAAAGTAAAAAAACTTGAATGATGTGTACCTCATGAATTGAGTGAACCGAACTTGCAAACACGTGTCGACTGCTGTGTTACTTTCAACCGACACAATAATGTTGTGATGAAAAGTGGATACTGTACGATAATCGGAAGCGCTCGTCGCAATGGCTGAACCCTGGACTGGAGACCCACCCAAATCCTGCCCTAAACGAAAATTGACTCATAAAAGTTACTTGTGAGTGTTTGGTGGACTAGCGCCGGTGTCGTTCACTATAGCTTTCTTAAATCTGGCCAAACGGTTACGGCAGATATCTATTGTCAGTAACTGCAAACCATGAAGGAGGAACTAGCTGCCGACTATACAACCGCAATTGGTTAATTGCTCTAGGCCACTGCCGCTTCACCACAACGCAAGACCACACACTGCACAACAAACAACCACTAAGTTAGATGAGCTACAATTGTAATGTCTGCGACATCCACCGTACTCCCCGGACCTTGCTCCAACAGATTACCATTTTGTCCGGAATTTGGACAACTTCTTACAAGGAAAAAAAATCAACTCAACGATGCGGCAGTCCAAACCGCCTTCAAAGAGTTTATTGATTCTCGCCCCCATGTTTGTTTTAGAAAAGGGAGGGGAGTAAAGGGTAGTTCATCTACCTATGAGATGGCAAAAGTGCATAGATAACAACGGTGCATACTTTGATTAATTAAATATATTTACAAAAAAAAATGACTTTATATTCCACCCGTACAAAACGCCAATTTCATATGTAAGGACCTAATAGTTACGCTGTTCTAACTTTTCTTTTTCTAATTTCTCCAACGCTTGTGGCATAGTCTCGTAACTATTGTTCATAAATTCTAATGCCTTATCTATATCAGAATTTGTTCTTTGTATGTTGAGATTTTGTTTTTTAACCTCAGCGATGTCTTTCGACAGTTTAGTAAGAATTAAGTCCTGTTCCGTCTTTCATGTACTCAGCATGGTCGATATAGAATCTTGAAACAACTTATTTATTTATTTATTTATTTATTTACATGACACACAATACAACTATTTTTACAGGTTTTGTACCTAATACAATAGTGTAGCCATTTCTTGTTACAAACATATATAGTAGTAAATAACACTTATTTTATAAACAATTTTAGCAACCTCATTCATCACTACAGCCAGACACACAGTCACACTCATATACTTCCAATCACACCCATCCCAGATAAACCACTCCCAGACACGGCACATACTGACCCGCCTATCAAACAACCACGCGTCCCGGGCGGGCTCACTAGGCCGACAGGCCTCACGTATTACAAGTCCATGTTATAGCAAATAACATTTAACGCTACTCTTGTGAATTCACTCAGAGCACAACAGAATATGTCTATCTCGCTGGCTATTAGGTTTAATGTGCGAAGTGCGCGCGTCAGTGGCGCCTGGCTTAGAAGATTGGTACGGGCGCGCGGCTCCGCCAGCAATCTCGGTTGTCGCCGTCGCCACACATACCCGTCTGGCACACAAAAATACACCTGTCCCAATAGGTCAGCATTATGTACTTTCCCCCTAATTATTTTGATGATATATGTGGTGAGTGCGAGTTCCCTTCTAGCACTCAGAGTGTTGTATCCCACCATTCCCACTATAAATAAAGTTGGGTACATTAATGGGTAGAGTGGGTATACACCATACCGACGCAAATATAGATATCTCAAAAATTTGTTATGTACCCGCTCCACCATGAACCTATATTTAGATTCATGAGGAGCCCAGATAACTGCGTTACATTCTAGCTGACTTCGGACCAGAGCATTATACAGGGCAATAACCGCGCCAATATTTGTGAACTGTTGAACCGTGCGAAGGATAAAACCTAGGTTCCTGTATGCTTTCTTACAAATTTTGGTGATGTGATTGCGAAACGTTAGCGCAGTGGTAAAATTTACCCCTAGGTCCCTAACTTCTGTGACCCGTGTGAGCGGCGTTCCGTCTATATTATAATTATGTACCACAGGGCTGCGTGCGCGAGAGAAACTAATTATCACGCATTTTGAGGTGTTAAATTGTAGGAGGTTATCTCTACTCCAATCCACTACCCTGTCTATGTCCCTTTGCAACCTTTTACAGTCATCCACGCTTTTTACAGCAAAAGAGAGCTTGAGGTCATCAGCAAACAGTAAGCATCTATCGTCTTGAACCACTCTTGTCAAGTCATTTATCATAATTATAAACAATAGTGGTCCGAGATTACTGCCCTGACTCACGCCAGATCGCGTAAAATATGGTTCTGAGACTTGTCCCGCGTATTCTACATACTGCTGCCGATCGCTCATATAGCTGGCAAAAAAAACTAAGCAAGTGGGGGGTAAACCCAACCACGGCTAACTTTTTAAGCAGGACGTCATTGTTTACCAGATCAAATGCCTTTTTAAAATCAAAGTAAGCCGAATCAATCTGTCCCCCACTGTCCACTGTTGGCACAATATGAGCCATGTAGCTGAGAAGGTTACTAGTGGTGCTTCTCGCTGGCCGAAAACCATGTTGGGCATCGGCAAGTTGTGCACTTACCTGATGAAATATGCTTGTGTGGATTGCAGCTTCAAACACCTTTGCCGGAGTCGATAGTACTGCAACCGGCCTGTATCCATCTACTTGTGCCCCCAGACTTCCCTTCGGCACGGGCACCACGCGGGTTACTTTCCATCGCTCCGGAAACACTGCCGCCTTTAGGCACTTATTATAAATATCCAAAAGCGGCTCCGCTAAAACCGACCGACAATCCTTAAATATATAAGGCGAAATGCAGTCTGGTCCTGTGGATCTTTTAGCTTTAAGTTGTTGGAGTCATTCAGTTGCAATTGGTCAATGTGAACGCGAGCCGAGCTATTGTCGCTGCCCGCTTGTGATATAGCTGCGCTCACATTTAACTCGGCCCGCTCCGCACTATAAACCGAATAAAAATAATCAGCGAAATCTTTAGCACATTGGTCATCCGTTAACGCTTCCCCATTTATTTACTTAAATTCATTTACAGGTGAAAAGTCTGGCCTAAAACGTTTATTTCTCATAGCCACGTTACGTTGTTCGGACGCAGGGAGTAAATACGTAACAGGTGTACTCATCACTTCTTGGTTATCAGTATCCAGTAACAACTGTGCGCTACAAACATATTCTAATGAGTTATTAAATATTTGTACTTAATAAATATAAATTTACGCAATGGCTTTAAAGCGTCGTACAACTGACAATCGCTAGCCTCGTCTGACTAGTAATGTTACGAGCTAACTCTCTTTCACTCTAGCTTAAATATTTACAATTTTTAACAGCCAGCAACCCTTATTTGCGGCCAGATTTATTTAGGCAACCATATATCATGATAAACTGAAAAAAAATAGCTTTAACTTGATAAATAAATAATAGACGTAGGTACGTTAAGAACGTATAAATGACTCAAAATCATACCTGTGTACAGCTGGATGCGAAGAGGTGCGGCCGAGTGCGCAACGGCAATCGTTATTTTTCAGTCTTTTTATATGACGGAGGACCGATGTCTGGGTTGTTTTTAAATAGAGTGACGTCAACAAAGCTTGTCAGCATTCTTTAGATTGTCATGGTTTTCCCTTATAAAAGCAAGTAGTAGTAGTAGTAATAACAACAACAACAGTAAACACCACTAAAGATGTCTACCTAGTTCTTACACACAGTCGTACATAGATCCGTACAGTAGCAAATAAAGATAACAGTAAATACAGTTATGTTGCGACTGCGTGTTAACTAAACGCACTATAACGGGCAGCAGCGCGGCGTGCGGGGGGGACTACCCGGACGTGTGCGGCGAGTGGGGGATCGAGCCCGAAGGAGCGCGAGGACACATCCAACAGCCGTGGCTCGCCTTGGGACATCACCGTAGACGGCCCGACTCTTAACACTTCAACCTCACATTTGATAACGTGTGAAGACCTGGCGATTAAAATACCAGTAATACAGTCCACTGCCATTTTATTCGTTGTAAATAAGATTTGATTAGTTTTGAACGCACTTTTAAGGATAAGTATTTATTTATCTTGGAACGTTACTTTTTGCCCTTTTTGACGTTTCAGCTATCACTACATTCTCTATACTCTGTGTCATGTTTTTGTCCTCGCTGTGTATTAAATTAAATCTAATCGCACCTTGTAATTTACTGTGACAATTCAATGTTCCCATATTCCATGAAGTAATATATGCTGAGAGCATTGTGAACCTACAAGGCATTTTTATTTCCACATCGTGTCAGAACCACAACACCACGGAACTTCAGGTTATGGGCCCAGGACCTGGAATACTACGAGGAGGTTTTATCTTGCCACAGGTATTTATCTTCACACACACCGATAAATACACACAATGGCCGAGAACGGCGGAAACAACCGCGATGGTGACAATGGCAATAGTGGTTGCCAATCACTCGGCATCATCACCGGTGGGTGCCAGGTGGAAAGACTGGAAGGTTCACATAATTATAATAACTGGAAGTTTAGTCTGAAAATGCTCTTAACTCTAGAGGGACTTTGGAAGGTCGTTATTGGTGAAGAGACTGATACCACTAAAGATCAGCGAGCGCTAGCACGGATTTGTCGCACACTTCACTCAAGCTGCTACCAGTTTGTTAGACAAGCTAAAACTAGTAAAGAAGCATTTGGAAGCTGGAGCAAAGTTTATGAAGACAGTGGTCTGTATCGCCGCGTTCTCCTTCTCCGACGACTACACAGGATTGAGTAAACGTCTTATTCTTCTATGAGCGAATACATTGAACACACTATGTTACTTGTACAGCAGCTTGCCGACATCAATAGAAAAATCGATGACGAAGAGGTGGCAGAAATCTTGCTCTCGGGCTTGCCTAAGGAGTACGATGCGCTCGTTTCCAACCTTGAAACCGCGTTTATGACCGGCAGTCTATCGAGTGAAATTGTCAGAGCACAACTACTACAGGAAGAGCTCAGGAAAACCAGCACCACTAGTACTTTAGACAGTGCAGCAAACAACACAGCTTTTATCTCAAAGAAGAAGACTGTCATATGTAATCATTGCAAGAAGCAAGGTCACACCCGGAATAAATGTTTTAAACTTAAACGGGAGCGGAAGAAGAAGAAAGAAGATCATTCTTTCATGGCCTCCGCTTTCCTTGCAACGAACAACGAGTGGTTTGTGGACAGCGGCTGTTCAGCGGCTCTTTGATCGAATCGTAATCGGCTTTTTTATAATTTAATTTAATAATCGGGCAGTGTTGCATATGAGAGAATTTCAAGTAAGGAAAAATCATAGCAGTGAAAGGAGGGTGATAGGAATCTATTGGGACTAAACAGTCGGCTGCTTGAGATAAACTACAGTTATCATTTGAGATTAGTAAGTCGAGTGTTCTGTTGCTTATATTAGGTATTTTATTATATTGTTCTGCGTTCAATTCAGAAATAAAATTAAATAAAGACTGACTAACAGATGAACCCTCTACACAGCCCAAGTCAACAGTGCTACTAAGTGACCAATTAATATTAGGGAAATTAAAATCACCCATTGTATAAAAAAATTGTGTGGAAAGACTATTTAGCACTATAGACAGCACATCAAAGTATGAATTATAAATATCTACAGGTGTTCTAGGGGGTATGTATACAGCGCTTATAATAATCAAGTTAATATAGATAACAAGGTATGGAAACTCGTGGAGCGGCCGCAGGGCGAAAATGTCGTGAAATGTAAGTGGGTGTATAAACGTAAACACGACGCTTCTGGTAAGTTTAGCAAACACAAAGCTCGTCTGGTTGCCAGAGGTTTCACACAAATACGTGGCATCGATTATTACGATACTTTCTCACCCGTTGTTAGGCACTCTACTATGAGAATCTTGTTTTCATTGGCAGCAGAGCTCGACTTAAATATTGACCATGTAGATGTCGCCACCGCCTTCTTAAATGGAGAGCTCGATGAGGTCATCTACATAGAGCAACCCCCAGGTTTTATTCATGATAAAAATAAAGTATGTTTGTTACAAAAAGGTATATACGGTCTTAAGCAGGCTAGTCGTATATGGAAACTTAAGGTCCATAATTTATTAACATGTAACGGCTATAAGCAGAGCAAGTGTGAGCCCTGTGTTTATACTAAGAAAGTAGGTAGAGACTTAATTATAGCGGCATTGTATGTCGATGATTTTTATGTATTTTATAGCTCTACAAATGATTTATTACCTTTATTAGAGAAAAAATTTGCTGTTAAAAATCTGGGAGAGTTAAAGAGTTGCTTAGGAATTAAAATAGGTAGAGATAGAACTAAAAATTTTATTAAACTTGACCAGACAGAGTATATTAAACAATTGTTGGTTCGATTCGGAATGCAGAATTGTAAGCCGGTCTCTACCCCTATGATAACAAATTGTAAATTGCAAAAAGCTGTATCTGGGGGCCTAGATGAGAATATTTACAGGTACAGGGAACTATTAGTTAGTTTAATGTATCTTTCCGTTTGTACTAGGCCTGATATAGCATTCGCATGTAGCCAATTAAGCCAGTTTAACCACTCTTTTGACTTAACTCATTGGCAGGCAGCTAAACGCGTCTTACGTTATTTGTCTGGTACACTAAATTATTGTCTATGTTTTTATAGAACACGTAATTTAGAATTGATGGCATACTCGGACGCGGATTGGGCTAACGACATGGTCGATCGTAAGTCTTATACTGGGTTTATCGTCAAACTGGGTCGCAACGTTATTAATTGGGAATCGCGTAAACAACGATGCGTGGCGTTGTCCAGTACCGAGGCCGAGTATCTCTCCATAGGAGATGTGTGTAAAGATCTTTGTTTCATAAGCAATTTTCTTTCTGAAATTTTGTCTGATTATACTTTTAAAATCACTTTGTATAACGATAGTCAGGGTGCTCACAAGCTGTTAGAGTGTAAAGAATTTTCACATAAGCGAACTAAGCATATTGATCTTCGTTATCTCTTTGTCAAAGATTTAGTACATAAAGGTTTCATGACTGTAAAATACTTACCAACAGGAGAGATGGTGGCCGATGTATTAACAAAATCTCTAGGTATACTAAACATAAACAATTTGTTAGAGATTTGAATTTATTATAATAAGACTCTGTATATATGTGTTAATGCGCATGTGTTTGTGTAATTATATGTTTGTAAAATAGATACATTAGCATGTAGAATTATATAAATGCATGTATAGAGACTAAACACGGTGATTTTCAGAGCGTTTAGGAAAAGAAAATTTTGAATTATTTATCAATAACAGAAGCTATATATAACGGCAATTTAATAAAATATATATATTTTTTATCATCAAAGTCGATATTCATATCGTTTACAGAGAAAAAGTGAGAACCAGTAGTAGGGCTATTCAATCACACGTAGGTAAATACTACAAATAGAAATACTATGCGTTTTAATATCGAGTCAGATAAAATCGTATTCGCCAATAAAAACAAAGCTACCGAGTTGCGCCGGAGACGTCCAACCAATGACGTATGCCCCGTAGGCGTAAGCGCGGGACTCACCTGTAATCGTGAGGCGTCCTTCGCTTTCAGTCGGTCAGTAATACCATAACATCGTGACGGCACGCTACATTGATTAGCGTTAAAATAAGTCGACAGTACGAATTTTCAAACGTGGAGTACTTGGCAATGGTACAGCTGTAGGCTACTGCCAACTACAACTTGGAAGAGGCTCGGCGTTTGTATTCCCAGCCGGAGCATTTAAATGCACTACGGCTACGTGGAATTGAAAGCCCTCAAATTCCCTCCACACCTACCGTCTTGGCTGCACGACTTCTCGACCACGGACAATTTCGTGCGGCGACTCATGCTTGCGCATGAGTCGGCGCACGGTCATGGACGTTTAAATTATTATTCGCCGGCGTGTAGTGCGTGCATACCTGGACAATGAGTTTAGTGATCGGTGGATAGGTCGAGGAGGGCCTGTGCCTTGGCCACCTAGAAGCCCGGACTTAAAGCCCCTGGATTTTTTCTTATGGTCGGAAATAAAAAGACTTGTTTATACACGGGAATATGAAAGCCGTGATAATTTACGCATTGCGATAGTGGATGCTTTTGATAAAGTGAAAAGTGATAGAGACACATTAAGAAAATTAAAAAACAATTGCATTAAACGTGGACGTTTGTGTATTGAACGCAGCGGACTCCATTTTGAGCAGTTGCTTCGATACAGAGAAGTGTAAATAGTGTAAATAAACTGTAAATAGGGTACCTATGTAAGTTAATTATTCTGTAGATAGCTCCGATTTTTTAAATACGAATGAAATATTAATACCTACAGTCCGTTGATAAATTGATTTGTTTTGAAAAGAACAATCGTGGTTAATAATCGAAAAGAAGTTTAAATAAAATAGGTATTTCCGACGGTCCTAAGCCCGTGTAAAGTATGAAGGAAAAACTGGCGTCTACCTACGTAAGTACTCGCTAGCTCGCGCCTATAGGTATACTTTTATCAGCTGCTGTTAGCGTCAGCGGTGCGCAGCGGCCGCCGAAACGCGCACGGACGTGTTTTATTCATATAAGATAATGAATGAATGAACAGTCCATTACTACTTTCCAAGTCTATCGAGTAAAAATGAATATTAAAACTGAAACTTTTTTTTTTAGTCAAAATTACAATTGATTTAACCATTTTTATTGGTACTATAGATGTTTCCAAATTAAAATGTTTCGTTTCCAGAACGCCTATTAAATCATCGTGTATAGTTTTTGTATTGAAACTATTCAAATCTTAAGGGGAAGTGTTGTAAATAAGATTTGATTAGTTTTGAACGCACTTTTAAGGATAAGCATTTATTTATCTTGGAACGTTACTTTTTACCCTTTTTGACGTTTCCGCTATCACTACATTCTCCTAATTATTCTTTAAGTGCTTAATTTGACTGTCGGAAGTTATACCTAAGCTTTAATGCCTATATATTTTATAATTCTGCATACCTACATAGTACCTACATATGCCAAAAAAAAAAGAGAAATCCGTCGGCTAAAATAACATAATAACATTTATTTCATAGTAAAGTTTTACAGTTTCATTACATAGGTTATCATAATAATTAGGTATATAACTTAGGCTATAATTAATTGGAGTGATTGCTGTTCTCCTAGATAGGCAACTAAGTTGCCTGTGTTTAGGAGTTACAGTCCCTCAAGTGCGCATAAGGGTTGTGAATGTCGTGTGCGTAGCGTGCGTGCGCATGTGTGTGTGTGTGTGTGTGCGTGTACGTGTGTGTGTGCGTGAGTGTATGTGTGTATGAGTGCGTGTGTGTATATGCGTGTGGTTAGGTGTTTATGGCCTTACTTGGTTTCAATTTTCGTGTTAATAATAATATATATTGTGCTTAACCGTTTAGGAATTGCTCTGTTTCGTCATAATTCAGGTTTTGGAGGTAGTATTTAACAGTCTTTGACAGTAGATGTTTGGGCAAATGATAGATAGGGCACACTGCATTAAGCTTGTTATAAACAGATGGACCAAGGTAGGAAGAAAATCTTTTAAAGAAAGTTGAGCCCGCAGGAGGGATTGAACAAATTCGGTCTTTACGACGTTTGTTAATCGGAATAAATTTTGGACTGCATCACACGTAGATTTGTTTCTACGGAAGCCAAATTGTTGGGTTGAAAGCAACTTAAAGTGCTCCAGGTAGCTGATCAGTCTCTTATTTATAAGTCGTTCAAGTATCTTGGATAAAGCACTAAGTACAGCTATGGGTCGATAGTTGTTTGGCGACTGTCCGTCTCCACCCTTAAAAATCGGATGAATGATGGCTATTTTGAAAGAGGTAGGAAAAATAGCTGTTTCAAAACAGAGGTTGAAAATATAGCTTAATGAGGACACTATAAGTACATTATATCGTCTAAGGAATGACAGGGGAATACCATCCCAACCTACAGCAGCAGTCACCCTTAGTGTGTTTATCACAGACGAAATTTCAACGGGGTCTGTTGGCTCTAAGACGAAGGAATTATTATGCTTTGAAGTGCAATTAGGTGGTGTACTTGATGAAGTGTAGATGTTTTGTATTTTTTCGGCGAGATTTTTTCCAATGTTTACGAAAAATTGGTTAACACTATTACAAGACTGTTGAGGTGACGTCGAGAGTGATAACAGTTTGTTTGACATATTAGTAGGTTTGCTTGTGTTTGTTATAAGTCTAATAGAATCCCAGAGTT